AAAGGATGCCTTTATTTTACATGATACAGTTTATCTTTTGTATTACATTTATAAAGTAAAAGCTCTTTATAAAGACCATCATCTAGGCTGGACCAAAGTGGTCTAAATTGAGTGGTGGTCTTAATTGTGAATATTCTCATCATTGCTTATATACTTTATGACCATGATCTATTTTAGTAATTTAACATAATGTATCTTAAGCTACAAATACAATATAAGACACTATAAAAGTATGCTTTGACATTTGATGAGAGGAACAGATATTTCTGAAGAAATTTAACATACAATTCTCTTTGGTCAGATTTCAATATCAATTATTATATGATGTACATAAATCACCTATCAAATAAAACTTAATTCTTCATATTAAATAAATTTGCTGAAAGCAACATTAAACCACTCTAAAATTAACCTTCTCACCTTATTTCATACAATGGCCCAATAATAACAGTTTTTCACACCTGAAATTAAGTGTCATGCATTTTAGCATTCAAGCAGATCATAACAACAAATTTAATATCTAGATAGGTGTTGACTTTAATATCAGTGGTCTCAATAGTTGGGTCAAATTAAGAATAAAGCAAAGAATTTGGACCAGGGCTTCCATTAATGGAAGTTTGGGAGTCATTTACTCCTTGCTTTTGGCTTCCAAAATTTAATGTTTTTCCTTCTTTACATATATAGCGTGACTTCCAACAGTGGGTCCAGAGATTTTTCAGTCTCTGACTTCCAAATTTTGAAACTTAGTGGAAGCCCTGTTGGACTGAATCAGGTGGTCTTAAAAGTGGATAAGCAGTTGTTCTTAATTCTGGATCATGTAACCATTGTCATAAAGAACCTTATAGTCTTATTAAAGGTGTGGTCTTAATTCAGAGGTGGTCTTAAGTAGGGATTCTACTTAACATTGAATGTAATTAATTATCAATCAATTACTCTCTTAAAATAATTGTAATTTAATTGATTACAGAGGCAAGTGTGTGTAATCAATCTTAATCAATTACAACAAAATCTGAAAGTAATTGTAATTAAATCAATTACTGATCAATGTAATCAGCCCCAGGTCTGGTCAAATCTTTGGCAGTAACCTTGTAAGCTGAAGCAGATCATTGGAATGTGTTTCTTTTGTCACTGTCATACAACTACCTTAGATTTTTTTATGGGAAATTTGCAGCCCAACTGAACCTGGCAAATGTTATAGTTACTTAGACCAATATATCAGACGTTATGGGCTTGTTAAAGTTTCTCTCGGTCAAGCCCGTTGCTTTGCCCAGAAGCAAAAATATCTCAAAGCAAAATCATATTTCTAGGACTAAATACATCTATCTACATCATACTGCTTAACAATCAATTCTGATTATGACTAGCAGGCGCGTTGTCAGGGAACTGTTAATAAAAGAATTTGTTTATATGCAAATTAAAAAGTTAAAAGAATAAAAGTTCTACAAGACTATTACTTTAAAAACATAGTGTGCAGTTTAGAATTTATAGAATGGGTCAAGCCTCTCAGTAAAGATGTTTAAACTAGGGCTAGACTGAACAGTAAGGGGAAGGCTATTCCAAAGACGTATGCTCCTAGGAAAGAAAGAATTTTGATGATATTGTGTCCTCGAGTAGGGTATCAGGTAGTTCAGATTTCTTGTTTGAGTAAGGTGTTGGTGGTCAACAAAAACAATATTGTTTTGGATTTTATACAAGTAGGTTACAGCACTGATGTTTCGACGCTGTTCAAGGGTTTGCCAATTAAGATCATTTATCATTTTTGAGACACTACTTGTATAGTCATAATCATTAAAAATGTATCTAGCAGCTGATCTTTGTACTTGCTCTATCTTATAAATTAAGTATTTCTGCCAAGGATGCCAAACTATGGAGCAATATTCAACCTGAGGTCTAACATAGGTCTTATATGCAGTTTCTTTTATCTTTTTATTTGGAGTTTTAACATTTCTTCTAATGAATCTGAGGGAGTTATTTGCTTTAGATGTGATGTTGTTTATATGTTTGGTCCATGAAAGGTCTTGACTAATAGTGACTCCTAAGTATTTCGCTTCTTGAGTTGAGTTTAGTTGGATGTTATGGAGGGTATAAGGAAATATTACAGGGTTTCTTTTTCTTGTTATCCTGAGAACTTCACATTTGTCAGGGTTGAATTCCATGGACCAGTCTTTTTCCCATTTTTCTAATGCATGGAGGTCATCTTGGAGGGTTTGGGCATCTTGTTTAGATCTGATGGTTAGGTAGACAACAGTATCATCTGCAAAGAGATTAACCTTACCTTTGACGCTATCTGGGAGGTCATTTATGTAAGAAAGGAAAAGACAGGGACCTAATACCGAGCCTTGGGGGACACCTGAGAGAACTGGTAGAATTCCTGATTTTTGACCTTCAACTACAACTTGCTGGGAGCGTGACTTAAGGAAGGAATGGACCCAATTTGTAACCTCATAACTTATACCCAATCTTTCTAGTTTACTCACAAGTTTGTGATGGTCCACCTTATCAAATGCCTTACTGAAATCCATGACTATGACATCAGTTTGTTGGCCACTTTCAAGATTGTCATGAATTTCCTGTGAGAAGCTTACTAGCTGGGACTCACAACTCCGTTTTGACCTGAAGCCATGTTGATAGGGGCTAAGGATGTTGTGTTTATCATAAAAAGACATAATATTGGACACTAAGATGTGCTCCATCAATTTGGACGCTATGCATGTGAGGGAGATTGGTCTATAATTACTGGGTTTGCATTTTGGGCCTTTTTTGTAAACTGGGGCAATTATTGCATGCTTCCAGTCTTCTGGGACAATACCTGTTTTAAGTGAGATCTGGAAGATGTGGGTCAGTATGGGAGTAACCTCTTGATGGAGCTCTTTTAATAACCTAGGGGATATTTGGTCAGGACCAGAAGCTTTATTTGGGTTTAGGTCTTTTAAAAGTTTCTTCACACCATCTTCCGATATAGATACTTCTGGCATAGATGGGTGGAGTTTTGGAATAAGCTTCTGTTTGCAAGCCTGGGATAAGCTAAGGGGCTGAGGCCGAGAGAAGACAGACTCAAACTGGGAGTTAAGGATATCTGCTTTTGCGACTGGATCAGTAAATGTTTGACCTTCTGATTTGAGGGGTGCCACACCACAGCTTTCAGTTTTATTACTTTTAACATATTGGTAGAATTTTTTATTTTTCACATTTTGGGAGTCTTGGCTAAAAATGACAGAGTCTAGGTATTGCCAGTATGCTTTCCTAGTTTCTCTTTGGATTTCACTTTTAAGTACTTTGAGCTTTTTGACCAAATCATTTGATGGGGACTTTGACCTTTTAATGTTTGAAAAAGTTCTATCACGTTTCCTAATTTTTCGAATAATGGACTTGTTTAACCATGGTAGGTCTTGACGTGTTTTAGTGACTTTAGTTGGTATGTGAATAGAACAAAGGTGGTTTAGTTCGTCCTTGAAGGAAATCCAGGCTTTGTTGGGATCAGTGTGGTGTGTTTCACTGTAGACCTTGGCATATTTACTTACGTCATTTTTTAAACAATTCCAGTTTGCCTTATTATAACATTGGATTTCCCTCTTTGATTGAAGTGGACGCCCTCTGTTAATTTTGATTTCATGAAAGACTATGTCATGATCTGAGGAGCCTAGGGGAGGTAGGGTTTTTGTACTATGTACGTGGGAAGGCATGTTTGTGAGGAACAGGTCAAGGACGTTGTTACCTCTGGTAGGGATGTTGACCATTTGCTGCAGGTTTAAGTTAATGAGATTTTCAAGGAAAGAAGTGTATATGTTTGGGAACTTACAACCTTCTGTCAGGGATTCTGTTGACCAGTCGATGCTTGGCATATTGAAGTCCCCAAGCACCCAGACAATACTATTTTTGGGGATCTTTTTTATGGAAGACCAAAGTTCATTGAGGGGTATCTCATCCTTCTCGTTAGGTTTATAGAAGGAAGAGATATAGATGTCCTTAAAACCTTTAAGGGACATTTTGGCCCAAACTGAATTATATTTTGATTTCAGATCAGGTTGTTCCTGGCTTAGGATGGATTTCGATATAGCAATGAGGGTTCCCCCACCTTTGCCCTCTAGTCTATCATCCCTATATACCTGGAAGTTTAAGAAGTCAGGAAAAATTTCCGCTGTTGATATTTCAGGTTTTAGCCATGTTTCAGTACAGCAAATAATGTCAGGTTTGACTTGGGATATTACCTGTTGTAAATCTGGTATTTTATTTTTAATAGAGCGACAATTTATGTTTAAGACGCACAACACACAAATAGTTACTGAGCTGCAAGCTTTTATGATTACTGACTGTAAATAATGTAAGTTAGATGTGTTAATGTGATAAAAATGTAGCTACCAAAGTAAAGTTGAATATAGTTTATGTTAACTTTATTTCTCATGCCGTACCATTGCCTTTTGAAAATAAAATACAGGCACGCAATTTTCTCCACGAAAAAAATGGCTCAAAGAAAAAATTTGCCAGTGCTAGCCCCTGAGTATAATTGTTGAGATTGTTCCAACTGAAAAGGTAAGCTGTCCATGGAATATCGAATGACACCTTTACAACGAAAAATGTAAAATGATAAAAAAAAATTAATTTGACTTCAACGTCCAAAGGCTTTGCCTACTTTCATATAAATCAATGTCAGTTAAGGCACAAAATTTTACAAAACGAAATACGATATGATACTTCACAAAAACATATCTCTTTTTTGTTCAATATATTTATTATTATCTATTACTTATTATTCGATTTCGTTACGAAAATTATTGAGTACAAAATTATTACAAATATTATGTAACAGATAAAGTACAAATCCAAAGAGTCAATACTATCTACAGTTTAAATCAATTTTAAGAAAAAAAATGTCAATATCACATATTTTTGACCAACTACTGCTTAGAAGTAAATGGCAACAAGTTCCTTACTTCAGCGTCGTAAACTTGACAAGGGCGCGGCCATATTGTATTGTGCTTACACGAATAGGCGCCGTAATTTCTACGTTTTGTGATTTTAGCTAAGGTAAACACGAACCGACAAGTGCATAAAATACTCGATGTTTTCTGTTATTTCAAGAATGTAAGTAACTTTTGTTTAGTTTCAAAACAGTCTAGTGTATTGGTAAGAGCAGAGCATAGTAGGGAAACTTTAACCTCTTAACATTTTCATTGCTGTGCACTTTTAAAACTGTTTAGTGGACTTTTGAATTTTATTCTTTTGACTTTTCACTTTTCAGTGTGAAATTTTCACAGTTTCACACTATTTTACTTTACAGTACAGTATCTTTTAAATTTTAATATGAAAAAGGCAAAGCCTCAAAGCGAGCTCGATTTTCTTTTACCGAAAGATAGTTTAAAATAATCGTTCATTTTTATTTTACTTTTTCTGTTTTAAAATTGTCATTCGGTATTTGATACACTGCTTCCTACCTCCTTTCTATTATGGTTCCTATATAAGTGCGCAGGACACCAGTCTACGCTTCCATTTTCAATCAGAGTACATCGGCTTTTATCGTTATCTTGTAATTCGAAAAGTTGCGATGTGTCCAATTCGGTACTTCGGACGAAAGTTTTCAAAACCATCACTTAGCAGGTACTCGCGTTACCGTAAAGCTCACTTTGCGAGCAGGCCCTTCGGCCAGCTTGTCAAGCTCGCTATTACTCCAGTTAGAGGACTTTCTCTACCCATTTTTGCAGGACACCTATAACAGTATAAGGCTCTTTTACCGCTTACTGTATATTAAGTAAAACCTGACTTAATATTGGTAAAGATTAGCTTTTTAAAACCATCTGATGTACAGATCTAGGATCTGCAGTGACAGACATAGTACAGCTTTGACAATTTTTCCAAAGTCCACCCATCCCTGTGATTTTTTTATGCGACAATTGTGACTTTCCGCTCATCACTTGATTGGTAGAAACTCATAGTCGTGCTCACTCACTGCCGAGGAATATCTTCACCATTGATCATGGATCGTTGTTCATGTACATGAACATTTGTACATACAGTATCATGAGTATGTGATATCTATCAGGGCGAATCTGATTATCTCTGTGATTTTCCAGAAGGGATTGCAGGGATTTTTTTAACCCGTCCACAGTGATTTGCCACTGTGACTCAGACCAAAGTATGTCCCCCACGATTTTCCATTCACCGTATAAAGTGTCCGCAGTGACAAAGAGAAAAGTGCAAAAACTGCTGTACTGTAGTCCAACCAATTGTACTGTAGGTTGAAATATTGTGCTTTTTTGTGTATTGGCAATATCTCCCCTCTATGTACAAGATGAAAAGTACCTTTTATTTGATGAAATATGCGCCCAGATTTTGGAGTGCTGTCTGCTGTGAACTGTCTAAAAGTATATACTTTATATTGAACCGTTTTATTATGATACATTTAAATTAAAGATTATTCATCTCTACATGAGATCCGTGTTTTATATATGAAAATATTCTTAACCCTTTTCTTTCTGAGTATATTGTGAAAAATGGCCATTTTCATTGAAAACCCTCCTGTTACAAGTTCAAACTGCTATGCAACTATGAAAAATGCTTCAATACTGATGAAACTTGGCACAAATGTTGACTGGAACAGCATGCTCAATCTTTAATTTCTTGTAACATTGGCAACGGGGGACGTCTCAAAATTTTAGCCTGTCTCATGTCCAAAATTTCCCCCCTTCTGGCAACTCCCTGATAGGGAGCGGCGGCGAAAAGGTGATCACTTTTTTTATCAACATTTTTTCAAGCGAAAAACATTGTTTGGGGCCTAAATAGGGCATTTTTTTCATTGTTTGAGGCCTTAAAAAGGGAGGGGGTCGAAAAGCCGTCAAAACACGTCTATATGAGAACTGATAAAGGGTTAATATAACAATTTTGATAGAAAAATAAATACATGTACCATCAAAATAAAGGCAGTGCCACTAATGTCACTAGTCAAAATATTTTGACGTTCTGTGTTATTTTTGTTCTGGGTCAGAATTTCACTTGGATGGGCATAATGTCACTTTAATAGCTCCAAAACATAACCTTCACAAGGACCCCCAGATTATAACATTACATTTGTATATAGGCATCCAATAATGCATGAAAGGGCACCACCAGTTAAGCTGAAGTTTGGTCATAAAACCTATACTAAGTGTCGGTGTGACTGAAAATATAACCAAAAAAAATGAAAATGTATTCCATGAGATTAAGCAACTCAAACTTTCTTTCAACCTACAGTGTATTAAGGAAGTCAAAATATATAAAAACAAATCTGTCTCACTTCTGGGAGACAGGATTTGCATTCAGCCTTTGCAAGTACCTATGCCACATAGACTGCTTTGAAGATAACTAAACTACCTTCACACTACACTTGATATTTACCTGGGTTATATAAGTCACTGATAGACTTTAATGTTTCATCTTTAAATAACTCAATTCTGATTCACTTTATTCAATTATTTCAGATTTATTATTCTAAGATGATTAACAAGGAGAACAAACACTTGTTTTTAAAGTTTTTAAAACTTCTACAGAAGAAATACACTATTATTGTTTTATTCATTTCAGGAAAGGCCATTTCATCAACATGGTATCTTATTAGAACAGTACTTTTCCAAAATGATCAACAAATTTGATTGAGATCTAGATAATTAAAAAGCAAGTTAGAATGATATCCAAAAGATATGACCACCTCCTGCGACTCTTGCTGGTCGGTGAAACTGGAGTTGGTAAAACATGCCTACTGTGTAGGTTTGCAACAGATGATTTTATGGAATCTCATATTTCTACAATAGGTAAAGTATTTATAGTAATAACCATTATTAGAAAAAAACATGATAATATTTGAAATTGTTGTTATAGATATTATAAAAAATGCCATCCACTAGTACCATTATGACAGTGATATTTATTAACAATAAAGGTATAATAATTCCATCATTTGACTTTGGTAATTTGACAACCCGTCTGAAACAAAAAAAAATTCACCAATCAAACATTTTGCAAGTAACTGAGGATGTTGGATGTGCCCAAGTTTTTGCTGTTTTTCGACAGCTGTTGCTTTAAGATTTAAATGCAATGTATTTTTAAAATGTTTTTAATATATTTTATGTAGGTATAGATTTTAAAATGAAGACCATTGATTTAGATGGAAAGGTAGTCAAGGTTCAGATTTGGTAAGTATTAATATAAATTTAATTTTTTTATCCATTTTGATCAGATATGAAAGCTATTTGCACAAAATTTTTGTACAGGTCACAACCCCAATCCAAATATCCTCAAGTGTCCCCTAGTTCTAAGGTCAGGTCCAAGGCTCAGTTCTAGGTTCCCTCCTGTTTCTTGCTTATATAAATGACCTCCCACAAAACATAAATTCCCAGATAGCTTGTTTGCAGACGATACTGCAATATACATTACTCTGACATCTGCAAACCAATCAGTCACATTCCAGAATAACCTAAATTGGTTAGAATACTGGGAGTTGGAGTGGGATATGGAATTTAACCCCTCCAAGGGTCAATTTATCCATGTCACAAAAAAGAACGTCCTATTATCACAACACAAGCAGGGTTCGAATTTAAGCTGGCATACTGGCAAAATGCCAGTTAAAATCTAATAATGCCAGTAGAAATTACTCTAGCTGGCATTTATTTGCAAGTGGCTGTACAATTTGGACGTTTACATAATTGATTTCTTCTGAGCTGATGATGCTTGGCAACTGCCCGCTGCAGAAACTGATGATGTTTACTGTGCTAGATGCAGTAACTGATGATGTTTACCTTAATTTTAAAACTTTAAAATCAATTTTTGGTTGCCTAGCTTTTTTTTCTATGACTATGTTTTGAACAGCCAAACACTTTTGGTTAGAGCATCCATATTGTGTTATCAGGGTCCAATGTAAATGCGTAGCACTCGTCTATAAAGTGTTTACTTTTAAGCTGAAATATTTACTTAAGTAGATCAGTACCAGTACCTCTGAGCTTTCATGATGTTGGTATAAACAATACAAAATATGCTAAAATTAATGAAGGTTCCAAGAAATTACATTACATGAACAAGTTAATATTAACTGTACATTGTCACCAATGGGCGTTCCTCTGGTTTATCTAATCTGATCCCTAAACAATTGTTTAACATTTATAAATAAATGTGTTGAAATGTTTTTGTTTCATTACAAGAAGAGATCTCGATCTGTGTTTACTAGCGGTAAAGATGTTTCTGACAGTCAATAGACATTCAAGCTTATTATCATTTGTCATACATTTTCATTGTGTATTATGATAATAATAAGATACGTACATGATCATGGGAATGCCAGTTGACTACCTCATATTGCAAGTTAAACATTTGATCACTTGCAAAAATCTGCAAGTAGAACATATCGCTAAATTCTAACCCTGACAAGACTACCTTCATGGAGTCCAATTAGAATCAGTTACCTCAGTTGAATACCTTGGGCCTTGATATATCAGAAAACCTTACATGGGATGCCCACATTAACAGGACATCCGAGAAAGTAAACCAAAGATAAAGGATTATGTATAATATTGATTATTTGTTGTTTTCAGGGATACAGCAGGTCAGGAGAGGTTTGAGGCAATCACTAAACAGTTCTATAGAAGAGCACAGGTGAGCTACATTTATAACAAACAACTTGCTGTGCCTTATAAATGTAATTTAATTGTTGTACTGTTTTTTTCTGCTGCCAATAAAGATGAAAAATAAAGGAGCTGCTGTGTGTAAAACATCTTAATCAACTTTTAAGTACATTCAGTTAATCAACCTTTTATTGCCATTTGGATAGAAAGCATGAAAATCAGAAATGTGTCCTAGAAAGCATGAAAATCAGAAATGTGTCCAAAAAAGCTAAATCACTTTTACCTGCCAAGTTTGCCAATGTACTAATTATATTTTGAATGCAAACTGTAGAAATTGGTTTAAAGGTATAATAGAAGAAAAATTGTGCTGGTTGCTGCATTATCTATGTACATAATATATGATCAGAAAGAAAGGTATCGGGTACTTAATTTAGACATGAGTACTCACGAGAATGTACCCTATTTGCAGGCTTCTTGGTGTTTGTCAGTGCCTTATAATCATATTCTTATATCAAATAAATTCAGTGAATAACCTTTTTGCTATTGGTTAACATTTACAGTTTCGTTTGTGTACTTGAAATGAACCTTAGTCCTTAAAAGTGGAACCATTCTACTTGTATAGATCATTTAATTTTCTGTATTTCAGGGTATTTTATTAGTGTTTGATATATGCAATAGAAAATCTTATGAAGCAATACCAAAATGGCTTGAGAATGTTAGACAGGTATGCAGTGTTTTTTTTTCTTTATATAACTACTACCCTAAAATGGTACTGTTCCCAATAGAAAATAGACATTAAAATTCCCAATTTCCAATGTTTAAATTCTCAAATTGGCTGTTCATATTCCTACAAGGCCAACTGATCTCTCTGAAATCATTTAAATCCAACATTTTCATATAAATTACCACTCAATAGTTCTACCTGGACAGTGGAAGCTGTTAGCTGTCTTTATTCATGATGACTAATCTTATTTGTTGCAGAAAAAATGCATAAAAAAAAATCCCAATTTAAGTCAAAATAACGCATTTTGTCCCAATCAGTCTGGTACCAGCACCATTCCCAAAGTAGTCTACTAGAGAAAATAAAACGCTGGGTACGGTATTACATATTTTATCCATTCATGTAGCAAATATAGCAAATCCAATGCTTTCATTTACTCAAGTGATATGTACATGCATCATAACTTTAATGTGTCTCTGAAAAAAGAAAATACCAACATAAAAACATAAATGTGCAAATATCTACATATACAATGTATGCATTTAGCTACTTTAAATAAGTAGAAGTGTCAAAAAAATACAAAGTTGTATTAAAGGTTATTACATAAAAAGCACTTATTTTGTTGTCTTCTGTGTTTGATATCAGACCGAAATTTGCAGGTATAAAATCGATCAAATTTTAACTGAATGTTTTCTGTTTATATTTCAGTTTTGTAAAGAGAATGTTGTAGTAACTTTGATTGGTAACAAAAGTGATAGAGTAGATGTCAGGCAGGTGACAGTACTAGAAGCACAAACTGTAAGCCGATTTCTAATTTGGATATTTTTAAAGCTGATTTGAACACAATATTGGTAATTTCTGTGGTGTTCTGTCCACTTAATTGGCTTTCCTGGATAACTGGCCAGTAATGTCCATTTTTGTGCCCCAACGTTAGTGGCGGGCATTTAGATTTACCCTTGTCCGTCCATCCGCACTCACAGGAGAGTAATTATGTGGCTAGAGGGACAATAGGTAACTGTTCTTTCTCTTTGATGTCATTCATTCCGTAATGCTTTTATGTGGCTATTTTCTTTTGTGTGGCTAAAAAGAACAATAGAGAGAACAAAAGAATAGCCACATAATTACTGTCCTGTGAGAACTTCCGTCCTTCCGTCCGTCCGTTCACTTTTGTGAGTTATTGCCCTTGACTTAGTAAAAATTTGCAATTTTCAACTTGTGTCGCATGTAACTCAAAAAGTATTTGACCTAGAGTCATGAAACTTTACAGGAATGTTGATCAGCATGTGTAGTTGTGCACCTTGGTATTTTCGTCTGGATATTTTTAGTATTTTCAGAGTTATTGCCCTTGACTTAGTAAAATTTTGCAATTTTCAACTTGTGTCGCATGTAACTCAAAAAGTATTTGACCTAGAGTCATGAAACTTTACAGGAATGTTGATCAGCATGTGTTGTTGTGCACCTGGGTATTTTCGTCTGGATATTTTTAGTATTTTCAGAGTTATTGCCCTTGACTTAGTAAAATTTTGCAATTTTCAACTTGTGTCGCACGTAACTCAAAAAGTATTTGACCTAGAGTCATGAAACTTTACAGGAATGTTGATCAGCATGTGTAGTTGTGCACCTGGGTATTTTCGTGTGGATATTTTTAGTATTTTCAGAGTTATTGCCCTTGACTTAGTAAAATTTTGCAATTTTCAACTTGTGTCGCATGTAACTCAAAAAGTATTTGACCTAGAGTCATGAAACTTTACAGGAATGTTGATCAGCATGTGTTGTTGTGCACCTGGGTATTTTCGTCTGGATATTTTTAGTATTTTCAGAGTTATTGCCCTTGACTTAGTAAAATTTTGCAATTTTCAACTTGTGTCGCACGTAACTCAAAAAGTATTTGACCTAGAGTCATGAAACTTTACAGGAATGTTGATCAGCATGTGCAGTTGTGCACCTTGGTATTTTCGTCTGGATATTTATAGTATTTTACAGAGTTATTGCCCTTGACTTAGTAAAATTTTGCAATTTTCAACATGTGTTGCACATAACTCAAAAAGTATTTGACCTAGAGTCATGTAACTTTACAGGAATATTGATCAGCCTGTGCAGTTGTGCACCAGGTATTTTTGTCTGGATTTATTTAGTATTTTTAGAGTTATTGCCCTTCACTTAGAAAATTTTTGCAATTTTCAACATGTGTCGCAAGTTCCTCAAAAAGGATTTGACATAGTCATTATCCAGTATTTGTAGAGTTATTTCCCTTGACTTAGTAAAAAGATTGACAGAACAGTGGCGCGATGGGGGCACCTGTGTCCTATGGACACATTTCTAGTTTTCATAAGTGACCTACTTCTTATACCACATGATTCTGAATCAGTGGTGAGAGAAAAATGATTTATGTCTAAGATCATTGTCAAAGAAAATTTCCATCTCAACTGAGAATCAAACCAGGAACCTCTGGATTACAAAACAATGCTTTTTTTTTAGTCTATTGAGCTAAGTGGGCAGACTTGGTTTATTCATTTGTTTGGGTTTTTTTTACTTTCAAGTCACACAGCACATGTTAAGTTCATAAGGTAACTGTCCAGGTTTACTGGTGCAACAGTCCAGGTGAAGAAAAATTTCATGTGTCTCTCCTTGAATTATTTGAGACATTACCATATACCCAAGTTCAGCCACCTACTTCATTTAGGAAAGCTGGAAGCTTTCTTATACTAACATGTCTGAAATAATTAGGGAGTGCATTGAGTATTCACTTAAAACTTAATTCATGCTTAAAGGTCATTTTCAAAAATCCATAAGTTGGGCATAGATATTAAATGAATACTTAAAAATTCCTTGCAAAAAGTTCAGTTTCAACATCTATCTTTGAAACTACTGAAGGCATTCACTTAATCTTCAAAACCACTGATGTTTATCACTTTAAACTTTATACATGTCTTCAGGATCATAATTGGAGGTCACTTTTACTGGCATTAATTTTGACTATGGTAAATTATTGACATTTGTGAACTTTAAGAATTCATTGTGTAAGTTTTGCATGCAACATCTGTCTCCACAGCTATAGAAGGTTAAAAATACATGTCTTTGTTGTCATAATTGAAGGTCACTTTGGTATGTCATGTTTTTTTTTAAAGAATTCTTCATTTTTGTTAATTCAAACATTATCCAGGCTTTTAATTTACTTATCAAGTATTTTGTCCTTTTGACCGCTCTTGCTTATTTTTTTCTGCAATTGAATATCAAGCTAAAGCAAACAGTGTGGCAATATTGAGACATTTTGGAAAAAATGGCAGCTGCTTTAAGGTTTTATGTTATGAATGCTTAAGACAAGATAATTAAAAATATATTTGAATATACAAAATGGAATAAATTTCTTTATTTCAGTTTGCTGATGAAAATAATATTAATTTCTTTGAAGTCAGTGCCAAGCATAAGAACAATGTTGAAAAGGTAAAGAAACCTAATTTTGTTATCTTATCATTCATTTAAAGATTTTCTTGCTTCTTTAGATGTTGTGCTTAAAATGTTACTTATAATGTGTCATCAATGTTTATCTATTTTATTTTGAAGGGAATAAATTGTCATTCCTCGATTCTTAATCTTGTTGACTTATTGAAACTGAACCAGATTTGCTCTTTTGCTACCCTCCTCAGATAAAAATTTGTAATAAAGGTAAACCAATTCAAAAAGGGCACTACTACAATATAGCCTTTTATTAACTGGTTGTGGTTTGATTAGGCAGATCTGGGTCTATAGGTCAAAAGTCAAGGTCACACTTAAGAAGTCATAGGAAAGTGCTTGTCCCAAGCAAAATCTTGCACATATATAGAGTAATAATATTACTTGTTACAAATGTTCAGAAAAGCCAGTGTCACACACAAAATTTAGGTCCTTTGGTCAAGGTACACAGAGATCAAAGGTCAGATAAAATATATGAAAATGTATGTTACTGTGTGGACAATTTTGAAGTCTTGAATTGAGGAATTATGTCCCATATGTTCAAAACTTGACTGAGTAAAATCAGTATAATTTAAGTCAATATATGCAAGGTCAAGGCCACAAGAGAAGATTAGAATGTACAGATTTGTCAAGAGCATATCATGAACATTTATGGAGGGATCTTAGTGTTATTTGACACAAATGTTCACTTGCATGTGGCATAGTGTTGCACACAAAGCTAGGCTTCAAGCACAAGGTCACATATAGGGCACAGAGGAAAGCCCTTGTCCATAGTGAAACTTCTAAATACATGTACTTATGGGGGTTTGTTATTGTACTTGATACAAAGTAATGTTCAATATTGTAATGCATAGTGCTGTGCATAAATTTCTGATATCAGTAGCACTTGGCTAAGGTCATGGTCACATCCAAAGGTCCAGTGTCAAATTGGAAATTTGAGTATTGATAATGTAGCCACCATGAATTGTTTGATGTTAATGTAAATTTCACTATTGCAACATTAGACATTTTATGGCAGGTGTATTTTGTCTTGTTTGTCATATAAGGAAGACATGTTAAATTTTCAGGAATTTCACACTTATTTTTTTCATTTTATTTTATTAACAGTTTTAATGAGGAACAATTGTTACACAACACTTAAAGACACATCTTGTATAGTTTTATTTTTTTCAGCCTTTCCGTGATATTGTGTCATGATATTTTTGACAGTAGTTGAACAAGAAGGAAACCAGACAAGGAAAATACGTATTCTTGATTGAACTTCAAGCTCAAACTGCTACCATAATGCATTCACAAGCTAGTGTAGTCAGCCAGGAACCAGAAGATGCGTCAGCCAATCAGAATCAAGGAAACTGGTGCTGCAGTATTATCTTGAGACAGTAAACTGTTTTTAGTCGTCAATAAATTTAGAACAAAGAGCCATAAATAATATTGTATAATGGCGGGAAGTCAATTTCCTAGTCAAGGGACTGAACTCTGAATCAGGATCCTTTATGTTTTTCATTCTTTTCTTTTATTACTCGTGTTTTTTAGTAACGAATTTAATTTTCAATCAAATTAAATGAATGAGGTCAGATATGAAATGATTTTATGTTACTTTATTTTATATAACCCTGAAATTATAACATGGTAATGTTATTATTTAGTCTTTTTAGGGCGGTTATTTTTATAATTCATTGATTGGATGACATGAGTAGGGCATTTGTCTGTTTTATGTCAATAAATGATATGACTTCCCTCAAGAAATGAGAAATATTTATCTGTTGCATTGAGGTTGCAAAAGTCCATTGATCTAAATTCAAGGGAAATAAATATTGTGTGCACCATGTATTTTTCCTAAAATTTTATGCTATTTAACCAAAAGCAATAAAGTTTTCACTAAAGTGAAAACAGGTGGGCATCTAACTGAAAAAATCTGATTTTGTAAGTTTTAAAACATGTCAAAAGTTTGTCGGGTTTTTATTTATTTTTAAAAAGGGTTTTTTTATTCACCCTTTTTAAAGGTTGGGAAAGAACTGAAATTGTAATTTTCTAACTTACTTTATTGACTTGACTAACCCAAAATCCCCTTTGGGGTCAGAAATAAACTTTTGGTTCGGTTTTTGGTTTTTGGCCCAAATTTAAATCACTTTAACTGCAAAACTCTTTTGCTTTTTCCCAAGCCTGCATGTCAAAGGGGTTTTAGACTAAATTTAAAAGTTTTTTAGAAATTTTTGGGTTTTATTTTTTGTGTCGCCCCTGGGAGTGGGGAAACTTTAGGGATCACTTCTTCGTCTGTCTGTCCTCTTTTCTGTCTGCCCCGTCCTTTCAAAACTTTTTGGGAAATTCCCTCAAAAACTACTGGTGAAATTTCACCCAAATTTTTACGGATGATCGTTTAATTTCCAGTTTTTGCATATTGTCGGGCATTTTCGGTTAAATAAATTTTTTGTCGGTTAGGGCCCTTTTAAAAATTTTTAAAATTTAAAATTTTGCCCGACTATTTCTTTATCCATTTGAAATTTAATAAAACTTTAAAAGGTTGATCTGTAGCTCAAGCCTTCGCATTTTTTGGAAAGGGGTTTTTCCCGGGGTTTGAATGATTTTTGGGGGATTTTGGGCCCTTTGAAAAAAGGTTTTTTTTTTTAGCTGATTTTTCTTAAAAGGGGAGCTACCAAACTGCCCCCGGCGTGGGGTTTAAACCCCTTTTGGTTAATTTTTTTCTTTCCCAAACCCACTTTATTTCAGAAAGTATTAAAAGTAGGGTTTTTTAAAACTTACCATATTGTTCCCATCATAACCGTCCATCTACAGACAAGATTTAACATAACTTCTGGTAAGGGTTTTTTTGACAGTTTGGCCTTTTTTTTGGACTTTAGAAAGTGTTTGAGTTGGGGTTAAGTTTTTTGTTCCCTTTTCACTTTTATTTCAAAAACCATTGGGAGGTTTTCTTTAAACTGCCATCCTTTTTTACCATTCCGACGCTTCAATCAACAGGAAAGAGGACAAACTTCTGTCAAGGTTTTTTGAAAGAATTAAATGCCCCTTTTTGACTTAAAAAATACATTGAAATATGGGTAAAATCCATTATTGCCTTTAACCCCTTTGAGTATTTTGCTTTTGAAACTTTTTTAATGCTATTTCAATCTTACCCCATCTGTACGGCAAGAGAAGGGTAATCTGTCAGGATTTTGTTTTTAAAAAATTAAAGGGCCTTTTATTCGACTTAGAATTTGGTTTTGTTTGCCTTTTTACTGCAAAATTTTTTTATGGAAGCAATAAAAAAGTTCGAGCACGCGCTGTCTTCGCGGACAGGCTTCTTGTTTGTGTGTTTCCAGATACCAATAGCTTGCCGGGGACTACTCCTCATAAACTACTGGTGCAATTTCAGCATCCAACTTACAGGAATGATCAGTACCAAGCTAGTTTGCAATTGTCAGCATTTTCCGGTTCAAATGATTTTTGTTAAGAGTTATGGGCCCTTTAATAATTTTTTTTTTTTAAAGTTTGTCCGGACTCGTTCTCTTATACCACTTATGCAATTTCAATGAAACTTTCGTATGATCTGTAGCTCAAGTCTTGCGCATATTGCATGGGTTTTTTTCCGGTTGAATGATTTTTGGCTGAGTTATGGCCCTTTGTAAAAAAGGTGTTTTTTTCTGTGTGTTGCCAGATACGCAAGCTTGTCCGGATTACTCCTCATAAGCTACTGGTGCATTTTATTCCCAAATTTATATTGGATCAGTACCAGTTTCTGTTGTGATGTCCGTCTGTCTGGCCGTTGTCAAAAATTCTGTCCCAACATGAAATTGGCCATTATGAGGCGAAATGATGCTTAAAAAGAAAGAGATCTATGTCCTATTTGAAATGGGAAGACTTGAAACTGGAGTCACACTTTATAGTAAAGCTGTTCAGAGATGTTTTGGTTTGACATATACAAATGTACAAAGTTGGTTTAATTGCATATTTTCAGTGACATATTCAAGTTGAATGTTATGTTGACTCACCAAATACTACATGAAAGAATTTTTTTAATAAATAACCCCCTATCATAAAAAAAATAAAAATCCCTGTGTGAAATATGGATCTTTTTTTGGACATTTATCAAAATTTTCCATCCCAACTTAAAAAATTTAAGTTTAACTATTGATATGGTCATAGTTTAATCACAGTCTGTGTATAAAAAACTAACTCTTTTGTTTATATTTCAATTTTTCAAATTTTTCAGTAAATTTTACTTGTTATTTCTTTTTTTTTTTCTTGTTTTTGTAATTATTTTGTTTTCATTTTTTTAAAGTAAACAAGCTGATTAAGCGCTTTTTTTTGGTATATTTTGTAAATTTTGTTTTATTTGATTCAGGGAAAAAATTATAAAAAAAAATTTTTTCTTTTCCCCATGAAAGATTTTTTAATTTTACCAAAATGTGCTATTTTTTGATGAAGCTTTTTGCAAAATGATATGCTTATCATTAGTAATTTTAATTGATTTAAACTGATAGTTAAGCTGATAGCTATGTAGATAAACAATAATATATTGTTTTTTTGTGGGGGTGTTTTCTTTATTCTATTTATTATTATTATTAATTGGGGGGTCATTTCTTTTTTAAAGAGCAATTGCTTAAATCAATCATTTTAGGAAAAGTTACACATTTGTTTCCAGGAGAATACATTATTCTAATTTATTATCTTTGATTTGGATATGTAGTTTTTAAGCCAAAAATTTGCCATTTGACTTCCATGGAGCTTTAATTAAGTTCTCATTTAAGAATAAACAACTTATGGGCTAGTAAACATATAGTGAAAATTTTCTTTAAATATAAATTTCACAAGTAATTAAAACTCCAAAAAGGGAAAAGTATATTAAAATTAAATATTTAAAGTTTTTAAAATTTAAACAATTGTAAAAAATTTTTGGCAAAACTTTAAGTTTTTAGGGGAAAATTTTAAAATGTTCATGAATATACCATACATACTGTATTGTTATAAATATAGAAATTGAATGTGTAGCATTTCTGATTAATATTTGTTCATTGAATATTATTTAACAATATGCAGTTAATGTGGATTTGACCTTTGTTCCTGTTTATTTTAAAATACACATTTGTAAAATATCATTTAGACACCATGAAAATAACACTTGTTATTGTTGTTCACATTTTTTTAAACCATTTAGGCAAGATAAAAATAACACTTTCCTGTTCACATTTTATATAAATCAGTTAGGTAAGATGAAAATAATGCTTGTCCCTGTTCACATTTTTTTAATCTAAATTAGGCAAGATAACACATACTTATGTTCACATTTGATATAATTCATTTAGGCAAGTTGAAAGTAACACTTGTTCCTGTCCACATTTGTTATGAATCATTTAGGCAAGATCAATATAACACATGTTTTTGTTCACATTTGATAAAATTAATTTAGGCAAGTTGAAAATAACTCTTGTTCCTGTCCACATTTGTTATAAATCAGTTAGGCAAGATGGCACTAATGCTTGTACCTGTTCATACATATTTGTCACTAGTTATTAATATTTAGACAAGATGAAGATAAGTAGTTTTTTTGCCAACTGTTTTTGCAAAATTTATTTCCTGTTTACATTTGTTAAAAATACCAGGTATTTAGAAAAAAAAGCTTGCTTTATTACCATTTACATGTAGGACAGATGACTTAGACTTTTGCCTATTCACATTCTAAATTGTGTAAGTTTTAAACTATTCACAAAATTGAATGCTAGTGTTAAGGAAAAGTACTGATATTGTTGCTGTTGGTATTAAAGACTATATAAGGTCTATAAAGCAGTGATTGTAGCAAGGTGCAGTTTATAGATATTGTTTTTGAAACATAGTATAGAGGTATACGCAGATATAAGCTTTTTATCTATTAATCTTAGTTACACTTAAAGCTAGTGGCATAGTTTAATCAGATAACAGTGCTAATGTCTACTGTAGATGCTTTATTTTATTGTGATATTAAAAGTAGTGACCATAGTAGAGGTCAAATTTGAGATTTCTAGAGCTGAGGGTCTTATATATGTCAATTGCTAGGCTGCTGCTTTCATAAGTGACTGTAATATAAAGGTAATAATAACGTGTGATCTATATTATTTTACATGCTTTGTACTATTTCAGTGCTTCAGTGCATTATTATGCAATTTGCACAGACTAAGAAAAAGATTTTTTACATGCCATATGGCATCATCTGTAAACATCAATTA